CCCAATCACACTACCGCAGAGGTGCCGCGTACGGTCCTGGCTCCTTAAAACTAACATAGGCGCCATCGTGATTACAGGACAACCCAGAGTGCTAAATAGCATCCTGTTAACTATGATGAAGATTGCGTCATTCGCTAAAGTGACACAAATGAACAGGATTTTTTCTTTAACACGCAAAAAAAAATCATTTAACGCGTTTTAAACATTAGTGTGACTGATGCAATATGTTAGCGTTACTAATGGTCTATTATGAGATGCGCTATCTCAATTTCTGATTGGATCGTCTAAAAATAGATGCTAATTGCATCATTTGCAGAGTGATGAAACTGTTTGGATTTTTTTACGGACAAAAAGAAATATCCCAGTTAATGTCTGTGTTGTAATGTTTTCCTTTCTGAACATGTTTTAGTATACTACTTAATTTACCACGTTATAAAGAAAGGTATAAGAGCAAAAGAGCTATAAGAATAAATTGGAAAAGATTTTTTTTTACCCTGGTTAATTATTCTGATTATTAAAATAAAACGTATTACATGGCCCTCAGCGGCCCATGTGAGCCTTTGGGGGCCGAAACTGAAATCTTTGTTCGCAGCCGAATCGCACCCTACCAGGGTGCCGGCGAACACGCCTGATTCAATTTAGTGAGCGACTTTAGCGCCCCATCTTATCAATTGTCTATCACACTGTTTAGACCGAACATAGTCGCCATAGCGCTCACGGGAAAGACCCTTGCGCCAAATTGCATCCTACCGGGGGCCGCCCGTGCGAAATTAAATCCCACCACCCTCCCCCCCCCCCCCCCCCAGAAACCTTCTCGGGAGTATTCATCAACTCCTTAATGTTTTATGGCACTCGGATAAATGGTGTCGAACTGCATCCGACTTTTTTTTAATGTATCGTAAATAGAGAAAAATCGCACCTTCCCGTTGCGCCGCCTTTGCGAAATTTAAAAAAAAGATTTCTTTCGGAAACATCACCTGGAGTGTTCTAATCAAAGTTTGATGGCGTGAAACCGCTATCGACTTTTATTTGTATATACCGTATATAGAGAAAAAGCAAATCGCGCCCTGCCGGGGCGCCACCCCTGTGAATTAGAAAATTATTTTTCGCAGAAACTCCCAGGAATATTCTCAATAACTTCCCAAAGTTCCTCGGAGATGTAATGAGAGGTTTAGTAATGCATTAAAGACAGACGCACACACACATACACAGACATACATTGCTTTATATATATATATATATATATATATATATATATATATATATATATATATATATATATATATATATATATATATATATATATATATATATATTTAAGATTTAAGCCTAGTTTTACACCATACGCAAACGCAAACGAATACGCATACACACGTACGCGTACACCGTACACGTACGCGTACGCGTACACGTTCACCGTACACCGTACACCGTACACGTACACGTGAAAATGAATTTATTTCATGTCTATTTCCTCGCAGATTAGAGTCCAGTAAAGCTCCTGGACATGGGCATGGAAGGTTTGTGAACATACAGAATGTTTGCACATATATTTTATACATATGTTATATATATATATATATATATATATATATATATATATATATATATATATATTTATATATATATATATATATATATATATATATATATATATATATATATATATATATATATATATTACTTTATACGACGAATAAAAGGTGGATGTAAATAGTAGATAACATAAACAGACCGAAAATGTGTGTGCGTAGTTTTTTTTATTTGTCTTTCTTACAGACCCGGCGGAAACATTAAGAACAAGTGCAGGAGACATTAAAACAAGCCAAAAAAATTAAAAAGCTCTAACCGTATTTTTTTAACAAAAGTAAACTTGCATGTTTGTTATAAAAAGTTTGTTAAATCGATAGTTTTTGTAATTTTATTTTAACGAAGTAAATAGATCAACCAGCTGTAAATCAACAAAGTGTTAGTCTAAAAATTTCAAGACAAAGTTTTTTTGCCATCCTCTTACCTTTTACTCGACAGAAAACAGCCAACACACACCAAACACCAAATAAATATCACGTGTTACTTGTTATAATTTTTTTTTTACACAAGCTTTATCTAAATTAAAATGTCATAAATAAAAGGTTACAGTGCTGAGATGATGTTTTTCTTACAGTTCTTTTCTTGGTTAGAGAATGATGAGATGAATGTGATCGTGGTTGTTTGAAAGGGCTTCAACACAATACGGCAACAAGATCACACACTAATATATATATATATATATATATATATATATATATATATATATATATATATATATATATATATATATATATATATACAAGCTGTACGGGCTTGGCCCTGCACTGGCATTTGCGGGAAAAGTTGTTTATAACGATCGAGATTTAAGTGCTCATTAAGCATCATATACCTTACGCTGCCTAGTATCTGGTAATGTTTAAAAGAATTTAATTAAATGCATTCTTAATGTACAAAATGATGTTAGTTTTATCATATTTATGGGAATAGGATTTTACCTGATGTCGGAACATGTACATGATATGTAGGGTGAGTGTTGTAATGTTTTCCTTTCTGAACATGTTGTAGTATACTACTTAATTTGCCACGTTATAAAGAAAGGTAAAAGAGCAAAAGAGCTATAAGAATAAATTGGAAAAGATTGTTTTTACCCTCATGTTATCGTTTACTTTTGTGTGTAATCAAAGAACTAAGAAAATTAAAAGTTGAAATTCAAGACGCAGTTATATCACTTTATGTTGGTAAGATTGAGCTATAAAGATAGTCAATTTTTATTAATTTTCACAACTATTTGAAAACCATATATGGAATTTTTCTATAATTCAAATATTTTCTTTTTATTTATTTTTGTGTGTAGTAAAAAAACGGGGGAAATTTGAAGTTTAAATTTACTGACGGAGTTGTGTCACTTAAAATTTAGGAGCTGTGTTGATGAGTTGAGAGCTGGGTGGACGAGGCTAGAGCTGGGTGGATGATGTGGGGGCTGGGTGGACGAGGCTAGAGCTGGGTGGACGAGGCTAGAGCTGGGTGGACGAGGCTAGAGCTGGGTGGACGAAGCTAGAGCTGGGTGGATGATGTGGGGGCTGGGTGGACGAGGCTAGAGCTGGGTGGACGAGGCTAGAGCTGGGTGGACGAGGCTAGAGCTGGGTGGATGATGTGGGGGCTGGGTGGACGAGGCTAGAGCTGGGTGGACGAGGCTAGAGCTGGGTGGATGATGTGGGGGCTGGGTGGACGAGGCTAGAGCTAGGTGGATGATGTGGGGGCTGGGTGGACGAGGCTAGAGCTGGGTGGATGATGTGGGGGCTGGGTGGACGAGGCTAGAGCTGGGTGGACGAGGCTAGAGCTGGGTGGACGAGGCTAGAGCTGGGTGGATGATGTGGGGGCTGGGTGGACGAGGCTAGAGCTGGGTGGACGAGGCTAGAGCTGGGTGGATGATGTGGGGGCTGGGTGGACGAGGCTAGAGCTGGGTGGACGAGGCTAGAGCTGGGTGGACGAGGCTAGAGCTGGGTGGACGAGGCTAGAGCTGGGTGGACGAGGCTAGAGCTGGGTGGACGAGGCTAGAGCTGGGTGGACGAGGCTAGAGCTGGGTGGATGATGTGGGGGCTGGGTGGACGAGGCTAGAGCTGGGTGGATGATGTGGGGGCTGGGTGGACGAGGCTAGAGCTGGGTGGACGAGGCTAGAGCTGGGTGGACGAGGCTAGAGCTGGGTGGATGATGTGGGGGCTGGGTGGACGAGGCTAGAGCTGGGTGGATGATGTGGGGGCTGGGTGGACGAGGCTAGAGCTGGGTGGACGAGGCTAGAGCTGGGTGGATGATGTGGGGGCTGGGTGGACGAGGCTAGAGCTGGGTGGACGAGGCTAGAGCTGGGTGGATGATGTGGGGGCTGGGTGGACGAGGCTAGAGCTGGGTGGACGAGGCTAGAGCTGGGTGGACGAGGCTAGAGCTGGGTGGACGAGGCTAGAGCTGGGTGGATGATGTGGGGGCTGGGTGGACGAGGCTAGAGCTGGGTGGACGAGGCTAGAGCTGGGTGGATGATGTGGGGGCTGGGTGGACGAGGCTAGAGCTGGGTGGACGAGGCTAGAGCTGGGTGGACGAGGCTAGAGCTGGGTGGACGAAGCTAGAGCTGGGTGGATGATGTGGGGGCTGGGTGGACGAGGCTAGAGCTGGGTGGACGAGGCTAGAGCTGGGTGGACGAGGCTAGAGCTGGGTGGACGAGGCTAGAGCTGGGTGGACGAGGCTAGAGCTGGGTGGACGAGGCTAGAGCTGGGTGGACGAGGCTAGAGCTGGGTGGACGAGGCTAGAGCTGGGTGGATGATGTGGGGGCTGGGTGGACGAGGCTAGAGCTGGGTGGACGAGGCTAGAGCTGGGTGGATGATGTGGGGGCTGGGTGGACGAGGCTAGAGCTGGGTGGACGAGGCTAGAGCTGGGTGGATGATGTGGGGGCTGGGTGGACGAGGCTAGAGCTGGGTGGACGAGGCTAGAGCTGGGTGGACGAGGCTAGAGCTGGGTGGATGATGTGGGGGCTGGGTGGACGAGGCTAGAGCTGGGTGGACGAGTTGAGAGCTGGGTGGACGAGGCTAGAGCTGGGTGGATGATGTGGGGGCTGGGTGGACGAGGCTAGAGCTGGGTGGACGAGGCTAGAGCTGGGTGGATGATGTGGGGGCTGGGTGGACGAGGCTAGAGCTGGGTGGACGAGGCTAGAGCTGTGTGGACGAGTTGAGAGCTGGGTGGACGAGGCTAGAGCTGGGTGGATGATGTGGGGGCTGGGTGGACGAGGCTAGAGCTGGGTGGATGATGTGGGGGCTGGGTGGACGAGGCTAGAGCTGGGTGGACGAGGCTAGAGCTGGGTGGATGATGTGGGGGCTGGGTGGACGAGGCTAGAGCTGGGTGGACTGTGTAACGTAATACTCTATCATACTGTATGATAGAAACGACGCCTTTGATAATTAATGTTCAAAACGTCAAAAACACATGTTCAACCATTTAAGGCAGTTAACTTCTCGAGATAGAGTTCACAACAACATACCAGTTTTATCAGGGAGCATTTGAGTAAGTCATTTCTAATGTCTGTGTTCATGTCATGTTATATATGTTAGTGTGAGTAAATGTATGTGTGGAAATAAACTTCGTTATACAATTGTTCTAGAATGTTAACCTTAAGTACATTTACAGAGATGAAGTAGAGTATTTCTCAAACTGTATATTTGAAGTGGTTGTGTGTTTAACCCCATGATCAACACACACCTTTTCTCTGGGCTTAACCACTAAGGGTTACAATTGAACTCTTCTATTGTTATCTTTTTATAAAGCACAGATTGGCGCATCCCACAGACCCCCCCCCCCACCCACAATAAGTAATATATATTATGTTTACATCTACATCAATTTAAAATTTAGGATTAGCATATCTGTTATCTATTTAACAGGCTGAGTTCAAGATAGTACTCAATAATGAACAACCTGCTACTAATATCTGTGTTCTGTGTCGCCTCTTTGACAGCAGTTTATTCGTAAGTTGTATGGATAGGCTTCTAATCTTAATTGATTATGCAGGCTCACACAACACACACACACATACATACACGTATCTATAATAATAGTTTCGCTGTCTGCCACGCAGTCATTCTTTCTCTCTATCTTTCTGTTGGGAACGCTTTTATTATAGAGACAACACAAGCAAAGTAAAAATATAAATTAAAAAAAATTTGTTTACAGTCATACGGAAAACGAAACGTGACGTCACGTGGAACAAATAGTAGGAAATATTCTAAAGCCGGGAAAGTACACACAATGATATGACGTCATTAATTCTCAGTAAACATGCAATTAAAAAGCCAAATTATGGCTAATCTTGAAAGTGGTTTGCGTTCAGAGTTATTTTCATGTATCTCTTCTGAAGAATGTCTAACCCCCCTCCCCATCCCAAAAAGAAATCAATTTATATAGAAAAAAAATTTCCAGCGTGCGCCAAACTGTGGGGGGGGGGGTATTTGAAATCTCAGGAGGAGGGGGGGTAGAGGGGTAAGACACTGGTAAAAGTATATTTTCTATATAAATTCTATTTCGTTGAAGGAGACGGTAGACGTGTATCAGGGTGGGCGGAACACGCCCCCTCCCCCCCCCCCATCCCTTACCCCCCCCCACCCCGTAGAGTGGCCTGAAAGTAACTCCAAATGCAATTTTCGTCCTTTTTGAGCTTAGGTGCAATATTTAGGGGTATGGCTAAGACTATATTTAGCATCAATGTGCAGTGACTGTAGATCAAACTTAAATCCGGTTAAATTGTCGATTCTGAAATAAAATCCGTTTTTTAATGACATTTTTTGTTTCCGGTTAAATTTGAAGTTGATGTGGTGATTTTTTTTTTTTTTTTTTCGATTTAGAGAAAAAGACAATATTGTCAACCTAGCGCTCAATGTATTTCTCCCTTAACGTGCCATTTATCTAATATATAATGAGAAAAATGTATTTAATGTGATGATTTTGTATTTATAATTTGGTATTTACTACAAAATTAAATTTCAACTACTTTTTGATCTAGCGACGTTTTCCTGGGTATGGTGTGTGTCAAAGAAAATGAGGAATGCACCTGGCTACCTGATTCCATGCCGTGTTGTAAGGGCATGCATTGCAGGTACAGTAGGGGACACGTCCCCTATCATATACTGTACAGATGTCACAAACATTTGATGTTCGCTATAAATTGTAAAACACTAAACAGCGACTGTGGGTTCACTCACGTTAGGGAAACACACAGTTGGCTGGGCGTAGTGGTGACAACATCATGCCATTGTATACAATGGTTTTTGAAACAGATTTACCTACTACATGAATATTGGGAACAAACTGGAAGATATATGAGTATCTCTTTGTCGTCTGTCTGTCTGTCTGTCTGTCTGTCTGTCTGTCTGTCTGTCTGTCTGTCTGTCTGTCTGTCTGTCTGTCTGTCTGTCTGTCTGTCTGTCTGTCTGTCTGTCTGTCTGTCTGTCTGTCTGTCTGTCTGTCTGTCTGTCTGTCTGTCTGTCTGTCTGTCTGTCTGTCTGTCTGGTCTGTCTGTCTGTCTGTCTGTCTGTCTGTCTGTCTGTCTGTCTGTCTGTCTGTCTGTCTGTCTGTCTGTCTGTCTGTCTGTCTGTCTGTCTGTCTGTCTGTCTGTCTGTCCTGTCTGTCTGTCTGTCTGTCTGTCTGTCTGTCTGTCTGTCTGTCTGTCTGTCTGTCTGTCTGTCTGTCTGTCTGTCTGTCTGTCCTGTCTGTCTGCTGTCTGTCTGTCTGTCTGTCTGTCTGTCTGTCTGTCCTGTCTGTCTGTGTCTGTCTGTCTGTCTGTCTGTCTGTCTGTCTGTCTGTCTGTCTGTCCTGTCTGTCTGTCTGTCTGTCTGTCTGTCTGTCTGTCTGTCTGTCTGTCTGTCTGTCTGTCTGTCTGTCTGTCTGTCTGTCTGTCTGTCTGTCTGTCTGTCTGTCTGTCTGTCTGTCTGTCTGTCTGTCTGTCTGTCTGTCTGTCTGTCTGTCTGTCTGTCTGTCTGTCTGTCTGTCTGTCTGTCTGTCTGTCTGTCTGTCTGTCTGTCTGTCTGTCTGTCTGTCTGTCTGTCTGTCTGTCTGTCTGTCTGTCTGTCTGTCTGTCTGTCTGTCTGTCTGTCTGTCTGTCTGTCTGTCTGTCTGTCTGTCTGTCTGTCTGTCTGTCTGTCTGTCTGTCTGTCTGTCTGTCTGTCTGGTCTGTCTGTCTGTCTGTCTGTCTGTCTGTCTGTCCTGTCTGTCTGTCTGTCTGTCTGTCTGTCTGTCTGTCTGTCTGTCTGTCTGTCTGTCTGTCTGTCTGTCTGTCTGTCTGTCTGTCTGTCTGTCTGTCTGTCTGTCTGGTCTGTCTGTCTGTCTGTCTGTCTGTCTGTCTGTCTGTCTGTCTGTCTGTCTGTCTGTCTGTCTGTCTGTCTGTCTGTCTGTCTGTCTGTCTGTCTGTCTGTCTGTCTCGGCTTACAAGTAGATAATGTGATTATTACCACTTTGCCAAGTTTACATAACGTGAGTCAAATACACTTAATTAATACATCTAATTAAACTCGATACAGCCCTGGATTTTAACAGTAAATATTTCTTTTCAGATTAATTGGGTCTTTTGAGGATCGGCCGACAAAACTGTAAGGACGATAAAACATCATCCAATAAATTAAACGTATATATATATATATATCATATATATATATATATATATATTATATATATATATATGGAAATATAGTCTATTATATACGTAAAATAAATTGAACCTTAATTTATATATATATATATATATATATATATATATATATATATATATATATATATATATATATATATATATATATATATATATATATATATATATCAACGCTTGATAATTAAAATAATCAACACAATAACTAAATATTAAAAGTTTTTATTTATTTTTACCCCACAAATACAAACCGTAAGAAGAAAAACATAATTTTTTTTATGTCTATTTCCTTACAGTCCTTACAGAGGGAAGCGCTTTTCAAATCATCGCGCAACAGGGTTTGTGAGCATCTATATACATAATTCTCTTCTTCGAGCCGTTAGAAAACAAGCTGCAAACGCTCTCCCTACCTCCCCACCCCTACATGGTTTAGTGAGCTGTGTTCACTCTAAATGTTTACAAGCAGAGCCAACGATTTTAAACGTAGGGGGGGAAGGGGGGGGGGGGGGGAAGGGGGGGGGGAAGGGGGGGGGTTATGGTCCTTAACGAGCTACTTATAGTGTTTTAAAAGAAATATTTTCAGTGTCAGCGTTGGTACTGTCGAATTCACAAATTAT